AATCGAGGAGAACTTTGTATTGAGATCCAAAGAGAGAGAAGAAGCCATCTAGCTACTAGCTATGGACCCGAAGGTCTAAGGTAAACTACTCACACATCACCAGAAGGGCCATGGAGTTGATGTAGAGGCCCTCCGTGATCAATGCCCCCTCCGGCGGAGCTCCGGAAAAGGCCCCAAGATGGGATCTCTTGGGTACAGAAGGTTGTGGCGGTGGAAGTAGGGTTTCGTGGTGCTCCTGGATGTTTGCGGGGTGTATGGATATATATAGGAGGAAGAAGTAGGTCGGTGGAGCAACGAGGGGCCCACGAGGGTGGAGGGCGCGCCCCCGTGCCTCGTGGCCTCCTCGATTGTTTCTTGACGTCCACTCCAAGTCTCCTGGATCAGGTTTGTTCCAAAAATAATGCTCCCAAAGGTTTCATTCCATTTGGACTCCGTTTGATATTCCTTTTCTACGAAACACTGAAATAGGCAAAAAAAACAGCAATTTGGGCTGGGCCTCCGGTTAATAGGTTAGTCCCAAAAATAATATAAAAGTGGAAAATAAAGCCAATTAACATACACAACAGATAATATAATAGCATGGAACAATCAAAAATTATAGATACGTTGGAGACGTATCAGACATGCGCATCAAGCTTAAGGCTGTCTACACTCTAGTAGAGCAGCTATACACTGGTGCTCAATGGACAATATCTGTTGCTATTCATAAGAAACAGTCGCCTTCCCTCATCAAGGGAACACTGGAGAAGGTATATGTGCTACCCCAAAGAATTGAAGATTTAAAGCGATCAGCCGCCAGAGCCGGCGCCATGACTGCCCTAAGTCGGGCAAAGGCATGGCAAGCAGATCTTGATCCAGAAGATTTGGCCAATGGCTGCCCTAGTGTGAAAGAAGACGGGTCTCCCTTCAGCACTGATGACTTTGCAAAAATAGTAAGGGAAATGTGTCCATTAGCAGGCAAGTTGGCTGAAGACACAGATCTATCCCAGTATCAGGCGGTTTATGACGCTGAGAATAAGAAGGTGAAGGCATTGGTTCATCAGGAGGTGGATCTCATCCCGTCTACTCATAAGCACACCTTCGCTCCTGACATTGATCCATCAAGTCTTATAGATGACGAGGCTGTGTTTAGAGCTTTGACTGGTATCGATTGGTCATCGCCAAACTTCCAGACAACGGAGGAAGAAGAGCCATCATAGGATGACCCGGAAGCCTCGACCCACCAAGACTAGAAGTCTTAATTCATGAGTCGGCTTACCAGCCATAACATTTGAACGCCGCGTGTCTCAAAAACACTTATTCTTTTATGGCCACATGAAGCCTTGTAATAGGCTAGTTGAAAAAACCATGATCTGCCACGCCATCGTGCGTGTTTATTTGCACAATACTTATGAACCGTTGTTCCATTATTTGAAGATCCGCCACTTATGCTTGCAATGACGTCAATCATTTTTCCTGCACATAAGAGATAATAGGTGCCCTCGCGGTTTACCCCAGGGCGGGTCACAATACCCCATATACAAAAGACTGGTGATTGAATAGTCCATAACCAGAGCGGGTTTATCAAAACCTCATATAATCACAACAAAAATAAATATCATACCTATGATACCTGTTCACACTACCGGCTAATCATGCGATGTGTAGTGGGGGCAACAGCCTAAAGACTTAGAGCACAACGCGTTGTTCAATTTATTCATACCGCCAGCTTACAATGCCATATGCAGCAAGGGGTAACATCCCAAAAACTTGAGTGCAACACTCCAAGCATTTAGTCAACACAATGGCGACTTAACGTCCAAAGCCAGGCCGGGTTATCAAAACTCCGGATAGATTCAAATATGAATCATAAAGATCAAGGCAACATGGTCTGAACCATCTTTAAACCATACATCAATATGGTACAAAAAGGTGAACCCAAAAAAAGTTCAAAAGCAAATCAACAAATCGAGGCTTTCATAGGAGGCCAGCCTAAATCATCAAGTGCTTTTCATGGGCTTGCGCAGCCACCAAGTTAATTCTTCATTCAAACCTTGAAAGCCGGGCCTCACATGACCAACCGCCATTTTAACCTTGACAAGTTTAGGGTCTTAATAAGATTGACAGTCAAGAGTTCAGCGGGTCATTCCAGGATTACCTGGCCACAGTGGCAGACGTACAAGGTAGGAGCAACTGAATTTTTTTGGGTGTATACACATGGTGTCTCAAGCCAATCAAAAGGGTTATCAAAGCTATGTTGAATTAACAGGGAGCCCCCAAGTGATATATATTGAACCATCATGGCAAGGTACCTATGTTTGAGCTGTGCTCTGCAACAGACTCTCTTTGGTCCCTATAACGCGGGCATCAAGCCTCCAAGTAGGTTGTAGAAACGACGTTCAAGCTTGATCAGTAGGGTAGTCACATCTCAATGAGCAATAAGCCCCCAAGTATTTTGCAATCATGGCATATAAGCCAGATCAAGAGGGTAGTCATAGCTGTGCTCAATAACGCCCACGATGCGGCTATATCGCCCATATGTCGAGGCGCGACTTAGAGGCATAACCGCATTGTGGTTTTGTCGCAAGAGGGGTAATCTTCACACAATCCCATGTACTGAATAAGAAAGGGATAAAGAGTTGGCTTACAATTGCCACTTCACACAAATAGCAAGTTAAACATACATCATCCAGAGTACAACCAAGGTCCGACTATGGAACCAAAACAAAGGAAGACAACCCCAAATGCTAGATCCCCGATCGTCCCAACTGGGCTCCACTACTGATCATCAGGAAACGAAACATAGTAACGACCAAGGTCCTCGTCGACCTCCCACTTGAGTTCGGTAGCATCACCTGCGCTGATATCATCGGCACCAGCAACTGTTTTGGAAGTATCCATGAGTCACGAGGACTCAGCAATCTCACACCCATGAGATCAAGACTATTTAAGCTTATGGGTAGGATGAGGTAGTGAGGTGGAGCTGCAGCAAGCGCTAATCAAATATGGTGGCTAACATACACAAATAAGAGTAAGATGAGAAGCTACACAACGGTCGTGAAGCTACAAGTGATCAAGAAGTGATCCTGAAACTACTTACGTTCAAGCATAACACAAGACCGTTTTCACTTTCCGGACTCCGCCGAAAAGAGACCATCGCGGCTACACACGCGGTCGATTCATTTTAATTAAGTCAAGTGTCAAGTTCTCTATAATCGGACATTAACAAACTCCCATCTGCCACATAACCACGGGCACGGCCTTCGAAAGTTTAAACCCTGCAGGGGTGTCCCAACTTAGCCCATCACAAGCTCACGATCCGCGGAGACAATCCTCCATCGCGGGACACCCGATCAAACTCGGAATCCCGGTGCACAAGACATTTTGACAATGGTAAAACTAAACCAGCAAGACCGCCCGACTGTGCTGACAAATCCCTATAGGAGCTGCACATATCTTGTTCTCAGGGCACACCGGATGGGACAAGCTATGAGTAAAACCATCCCTCAAGTTTCCTCGAGGTGGCCCCGCAGGCTGCCCGTTTCGGACCAACACTCAGAGGAGCACTGGCCCAGGGGGTTAAAATAAAGATGACCCTCGGGCTCGCGGAAACCCAAGGGAAAGTTATAGGTTGTTACGCAAATGTAAAACCAAGGTTGGGCCTTGCTTGAGGAGTTTTATTCAAAGCGAACTGTCAAGAGGGTCCCATACCCATCATCGTGTTAGGGACGCAAAATCAAGGAACATAACACCGGTATGACGGAAACTAGGACGGCAAGAGTGGAACAAAACACCAGGCAAAAGGCCGAGCCTTCCACCATTTACCAAGTATATAGATGCATTAATTAAAATAAGAGATAATGTGATATCCCAACATATCCATGTTCCAACATGGAACAAACTTCAACTTCACCCACAACTAGCAACGCTATAAGAGGGGCTGAGCAAAAGTGGTAACATAGCTAAACAACGGTTTACTAGGAAGATGGGTTAGAGACTTGACATGGCAATATGGGAGGCATGATATAACAAGTGGTAGGTAGCGCGACATAGCGATAGAGCGAACAACTAGCAAGCAAAGATAGAAGTGATATCGAGGGTATGGTCATCTTGCCTAAGATCCCGCAAGGAAGAAGAACGAGTCCATGAAGAAGACAAATGGACGTAGTCGAACGAATCCTCACAACTCCGGAACAAAACCGAAGCTAACGAGAGAAGCAACCCGGAAAGAATCAAGCAACATAGTAAACAACCATCACATAAACATGTCATGATGCACAACCAAGTATGATGCATGTCCGGTTTAAAGAGTCATGGCATGGCAAAGTGCAACAAACAATACTACAACTAAGTGGAGCTCAATATGCAACGAGTTGCATATTGACGAAACACCACATTCAATTATTTAATTCTCTCTCGGTTATGTACCCAACAATATTAAATGTTGTTAAACATGACAAGAGGTGAAACATAAGTAAACTAACTATTTAGGCAAGTTTAAGTGAGGCCGAAAACTACAAGCAACAATTCTGGAAAATCCTCATATGCATTTTATGGATTTGGTACTGTTCTGCCCTAAACCATATTTTAGAGTTGTTAAACATGCAAAGTAATGCCACCATGTTAAACTATGCATTTTTCTACCCCAGTTGCATATAAAGTTTATTAAATTCGGAGCTACGGTTAAGTAGTTATGAAATAAATCATTTTAACATGGCATTTAAGCAAATTAAAGCAAAGAAATTTTTTAACATGGATGAAAGCAGCATATTATGAAACTAGACAAAATTCTAAGCATTTTACATATATAAGTTATTTACATATGATGCATGGTTAATTAGTTATTAAATGCATGAAAGCTAGGGGGTTTTCTGTAAAATAGTAAACTCTGGAAATTAGCTAAAGCGTCCAGACCTGAAAAAACAACGATACAGGCTGAATCTGGCAGGTTGTTCCAACAGGAAAAAAACAGAGGAATGGCACTGGGGTGTGGCCTCACCCAGGGGGCCTTGGCCCGGTCGATGGATGCAGCTGAGGCGCGGTGGGCCTGGCACAGATATGGCCCAAGCCGGCAAGGGCCACGGTCAACGGGGCGACCGACTGTTCTTGCGGTCGTCCAGGCGATCAAAGCAGAGGGCGGGTCGTCCTTGTTCATTCCTGAGAAAGAGAGACGCCGATTGAGAGAGAGGAAACCAGAGGATGGAGAGAAGGGGTCGGCGAGCTACGTGGTCCGGCGACGCGGGAAGCAGTGGGTCGGCGGGGAGGCGAGCGGATCCCGACGGTGGCGCGCCGAACGGAGGCTAATGGAGGTGGTTCCAGCGATGCCTTGTGGCTGGCGTGGCCACGGCAGCAGGGGCTTGGCGGCAGCGAACGAGCGCGAGGTAGAGGAGGCAGGCATGGTGTCGCGCTCTGTTGAAGCAGGGGAACGAGCGGGCGATGCGGTGCTCGGGTGCCATGGTCTACTGCTGCTCCTGCGTGAAGAACACACGGAAAGGGAGAGAGTTTAGCAATGGGAGAGAGAGGGATGGCGAGGGGGAGGCAAGGGACGGCGAGGCTTGGCCTGCTCGTGGTCGTGGTCCCTGGAGGGTGCATTGGATCGGGAGGAGCGGTGAGCACACGGGAGCGAGAGGATTCGCGGGGCCTCTATTTGCAGGAGGCTGGTAGCAAGGCTTCGGGCATGAACGACGCCGGGGATGGGGATGGCGCGGGCATGGCGAGAGACGGCCGGATCTACGGGCGCCTCCAGAGTTGGTGAGGGAGGTGGGGGGATTGGGTTGGCTGACGCAAAAATTGTGGGAGGTGGTCGGACGCCATGAGCAGGGGGAGCCTTGCTCCAGTCGAGGCCGAGGAGAAATGAGGAGGTGGCTACGGGATTGGATGGATTGGTTGGTTTGGTGGGGAATCGAGGAGGGACAGGGGAGGCGCTGGTTGGTTCGCTGGTGATCCCGAGGGTAACCAGAGAGAGTGGTGGCGGGGAGGAGGATCCCTAGAAAATAGGGTTTGGCTTGATTTTGGGTAGGGGTTGATCTATATATAGGGACAAAAGGATTAGGTTTCGACCCTCCGATCAAAATTGGACGGTCTCAGATAAATAGGTTAGGAGAGTCCAACGAGAAACCGATGATGATTTAGGGATGTTTGGGGACGATCCGGACCCATTGGTCACGACAGTCCGGTTCGGGTTCGGGGAAGTTTCGGACACGGGAGAGGGGTCGATGTACTGTGCAAAGAGGGGTCAGGCGGATGGGGTCTAGTGTGCTTGGATTGAGAATGGTCATCGAAGAAAAATGGTCTCACAACATGCCACGGAGACGCGGAGAGAGGCGGCAGCTACGAACGGTTACGAGTTTTATGAAAACATGCGAATGCAAAAGCATGATGACATGATGAATGCGACAAACAAGAAAAACATGACAATGACGGCGAATAACTGAACGACACCTGGTGCAACAGTCTCGGGGCGTTACAACACTCCACCACTACAAGAGGATCTCATCCCGAGATTTAGGATGGCACCGGAGAGAAACAGAAGAGGAAGATAAGAGGTAAAACTAAGTTGCTTCTTTGATAAACGAGAGAAACCAGAGAACCTTGAGAGGTTGAACAAGTTGAAAGAAAGAATACAACAAAGATGAACAAAGTTGAAAACACTCCGTTAGAAAAGAGGAACAAGGAGCATTACTAGAACCTTGTAGGTTGAAACACATAAGAAAATGGTTGCAATGGACAAGAAGTACATGCAAGCACTCTGGTTGAAACGAGATGTACAAGGAATGATAAAGATCAATTACGACAACACTCCGGTTGGAAATGGAAGGCATAGATATGAACTTTACAAGATGAGAGGATACTTGATGAAATCAACAGCACAGTGCCTCCGGAACTATTGAAAGAATGGCACAATGGGTAAGAAAGATTTCAGACAGCACTACGGTTGAGAAGGGAGGCAAAACTTGATAGAATGGGAAGAACTTGAAAAGAGGTCATGACACTCCGGTTGAATGGATAAGCAAAGGAAAGAACATGATCTTTGACAAAAAATGGGATGATGGGTCGAAGTGTGCAACATCACAATGCCTCCGGAACAAAAGACACAACGGACTGAAAGTAACGAAGAAGAATACAACTACTTCTACGTTGAATGAATTTGAAAGCATCCTTCCATAGAGGATTGAACGGAGTTGCTGGGAAATGAACAATGAGAAGAATAAACTTGTTGTGTGCTTATGGAAAACATCCCAAAACTTGAGGTGAAATTCTGCCACTACCAAAAGATTGATTGGCTGAAAGGAACGAAGAGATGGAAAAAAACTTCTTTCACCATGAGAGTAGAAGGAAACTTGGATCAATAAATAGCACCATAATTAGCAACATTCCTTAGGGAAGGCTTTAGGTGAAATATAACCCAAGATAACTCCAACAAAGAGATTGATGGATTGAGAAGAGCTCATGCCTGAAGAAATTGATGGGTTTAACTATCTCATTCTTGACAACTGTTGAATCACGACACACGAAGGGAAATTGTCAAGAGTGACATAACACCACCTCGAAAGATAAAGTAGAATGAATTGCATTTCAGAATGCAAGATGAAGAATACTTGAACTCCTCAAAACAAAACATGTGTTGAGCACCCTGTTTAATTTTGAGTATAGCTTGGCGGATCATAACTTCGAGAGAAATCTTGAAGAATGAGAAGAATCCTTGACGAACCACCATGTAGAGCCTCCATGAAGAACTCCGGTAATAAAAGAATGATGAAACGAATGGGAAAATTGAAAAGAACTCCGGGAGAAGCCTTGCAATGATTAGATGAAGCTTCGCGATGATATAACCAAGAAAACTTGGAACTCCGGAAAAGAAAGATGAACAAGTGAAACCGAGAATTTTGATGAACCTCCGGAATAAGGAGTTGAATTTACTCGATGAAACAAGAATAAGAATTACATTATGCTTAACCTTCATCAATTAAATTGATGACACACAACGGATTTGGCATACTACTTATCCTCGTTGAAAAAGGATTGAAGACAGATATTTCTCAACTTGGGAAGGTCTTCAATGAACCACTGGTAGGATTGGAAAGAACGAATGAATTGATATGATAACAAGGAAAAGGAATCTTGAACGAACCACTGTAAGAATTGAAAATGACCGTAACAAAGGCATAATTCACCGGGAAGAATTAGAAAACGAATAAAGATACTTGAAAGAATTTAGATACATAAGAACGAATAGATCATGATCTGATTAAAAGATATCCGAACAATGCACTGGAAGAATTTGAGAACAAGAGCTGAAAGATGGAATGAATAATTCTGAGATGATGGGCTGCGGAGAATCAAACTGAAAAGACTCCTGAATTGCTCTGGATGGCTGAAATGAATTCTCACAATCGAAAACAATTATGAGAGGGTGGCATCAAGCTTGAACTACGAATCTTTGAGAGAATGGATGAGATTTGAAGGAGAAACTCTTCTTCAGTCTTCAAATGTTGAGAGTTGTCACATCCCTAGCTGCTGGTAGTGCTCTAGGCTAGCTTCATGTGTGCATCATGTTTAAATTATTGAAACCTGAACTGAGGAATTTTGGAAGCCTCAAAAACTTAAATAAAAGAGGGGCAAAAGCCCTAGAAATCTCATTCATTGCTCCAAAGTGCTCTTCTTAAATGTTTGATAATTTTTGGTAAGGGTTCTGGTCCCAACCAAAATATTGAACATTTTTAGGGATTTATTTTTGGGACTTTGGATTTAATTCATTAGCTATTTGAATTTGAATTATATTCATATAATTAGAATATAATTTCAAATACCCCTGAAATATTTTATAAGCTTTTGGAAAAGTCCATCTAGCAATATAAAATATTCAGAGGAGTTTTTGGCATTGTTTGAATTATTTTAAATTCAAAACAGTGGCAAAATAAATTAAATAAAACAAACAGAAGAAAAAAATAAAAACAGAGCAGAAACCCACTGGGCCACTTACCTGGCGCCACTTACCTGGCCCAGCTCCATCTGGCCGGCCCAGCCCACCTCCTCCCCCTTTTCCTCTTCCTCCTCTGCCAGGAGGACGAACAGAGGCAAGGCATGGCGCGCGCCCGAGAGGCCTCGGCCACCTCCTGCTTCCCCCTGGCCACCTCCTGCTTCCTCCTCGACGCCCGGAGATGCCACGCACCCCCCTGGACCGCTTTCACTTTCCCTCATTCCTTCTTCTCTCTTCTCTGGCTCCCTCACTCGCGCGACCGAGGACCGCCGTCGCCGCCGCTCGTCGCAGCCGTAGCCACCACCGTCGTTCCACCCCACTAGAGTGACCAAAGGCTCCGCCTCGACGCCCCCGACCTCTCCATGGAGCTACGCAACGCCGGGAGCCCTGCATCGCCGCCCACGTCGCCGTTCCCCTCCTCGGCCACCGGAGATCGTCGCCGTCGATTCGCTGCACTCCGGCCGCCCCCGAGCCCACTAACCCTCCCTACAGCTCCGCGGTGAGCCTCTGTGCAGAACCCCTCTCTCTCCCCACGCGTTTGCGAGCTCTAGGCCATAGCTCCGCCGCGGCCGAACTCCGGCCGCCGCTGACCTCGTCACCGCTGTCACTACAGCCGCTTGAGCTCGTCTCGGAGCGTGTCACCGCACTCAGGAAGCCACCAGGAGCCTAACGCATATCCTAACTCGCCCTCCCGTGCACCACAGCGCCAACCCCGCACTCACCGAACTCCGGCGCCGCCGCGAGCTCCGTTCCGGCGAGCCCCGACGTTCCCGTAGCCTCCCACCTACCCCATCAGATGCGGGAGAGCCCGGGCTACGCCCCGGTGCCCTCAGCCGCCGCCTCCGTCGCCTTTAGCGCAAGTCCGGCGTGCCCCCGCCGTGCTTTGTGGTCGTCGCCGGCGATACTCCGGCGACTGCCGACGTGGCACGCTTAATTAGCGCTAATGACGCCCTAATCAACCCCCTAGGCCACTGACTATGGGCCCCACCCCTGGTTAAACCTCAGTTAGCGCTGGGTTTGACCGGGATTAGCTCCTGTGTCACTGACGTGTGGCCCCCACACGTCAGGTTTGACCTGGGGCGCCCAGTTGACCCTGCTGACGTCACTGTGACGTGGGGCTGACGCAATAAGTATTTTCTGGATTTAAAAATAATCAGGAAATTCCAGAAAATTGTATAAACTTCTAAAATTCCTAGAAATTCAACCGTAACTCCAAATTAAATAATTTATATATGAAAAATTATCAGAAAAATTCAAGGAATCCATCTGTACCATTTTCATGCATGTTAGAACCACTTATAGCTGCTGTATAGCACAAATCAATTAAATGGCATTTAAATATCCACATATGGAGTTTGAATTTGAATCTTGGATTCAAACCAACTTCATTTAATCTGGTTTTAGTTGCATTAGCACAAAACACAGCATATTGCCATGTCACATTCATGCATCATATTGTGCATTGCATTGATTGTGTTTTTCCTTAGTTACCGGTGATTGCCCCCTTTCGATAGACGTGATACCGAC